TCTAGCTTTTCACTACAGCGGGTGATGAATAAGTAGCCCAGGATGGCTGGACGTGCCCCAAGCCTTGGGCAGGGGGAATGGCAGCTCCTGGATTAGTGCAAAGTGCACTGGGCTTCGTGCCCTTCATGCCAGGGTCAGGCAAGGTCCTTTCCCCAGAGCGTCAGGCTTGCCCTGTCCCTTGCTTGGCATGGCGGCAGGGGCAGTTCTCTTGGCATCCCTCCCGGCTAAGAGCGGTCCTGAGGGAGAAAAGAAGGGTTTAACCTTGAAACAATCAACGCTGGGATTTTTAGCGTAGTTTCCAGGTGGGTTTGGTGGTTGCCTGCTCCTATAGCCAGTGGCACCTTAGTGTTACAGGTGGAGAAGTCAAATCACTGCATGAGATGAGAGCCCAGAAGAGATGGTGGCTCACCTTGCCCTCACACTGCCTGAGCTGTGAAAAGTGCCAATATGTTCCACCAGACAGCAGTGAGACAGTGGAGGTGAAGTTTATGTAGGTCACTGGAGAGGGAATTAAGTCATTAGAAATAATTCAATTAATTAGAAACTAGGGTGTGCTGTGGAAAAAGAGGTGCTGCAGGATTAAGGTGTAGAATAAGAGCACTTGGCTAAAAAAGGAGCCCTTGGAAGGCAGACATGGCACACTCTGCTCCAGGAAGGTGCATAGGTATCTCCCCTAGCCAAGGTGGTGTTGGCCCTTAGGTTGAGGATGAAGGGACTGTGTTGTACTTACTGCTGCAGTTTCTGCTGCTCCAGAACCACCCTCCAGCATCACTCAGGCACAGGATGGATATGTGATCTTTCAGCTGGTGGGAGCTGTAGGACTGAGTCTGGGAAGTTGTGCTTCCTGGGATGCTGCTGGGTGCCACTGCTGTGTTCCTTCTCCCACACAGAGGACTGACGCTCCTATCAATCCCCTAAGCTGCCATCACTTCTGGCTTTTCCTTTGGGTGAGGTTTGTATGACAAAAACCAAAACAAGCTACATAACTTCCTGCTGATGGAGCTGCTTGTTTGCATCCTTGCTGCCCTGTGTGTTGGCTCAGTGCTGGGAGAGGGGGTTTGAGCAGCTCAAAACCAAGCTGCAGATAGCATGGGTAGCAGCTGCCTATGGATCCTGAGAAGCCATCGTGCTCAGGGCAGCAGCCCCCATGCTGCCCTGCTTTGGTCTCTCTGCCAGCTCTGCCTGGCAGTGGGGGGAGTGCAGTGAACATTTGCACACCTCTCCATCACAGAGCTGATAGAAACTTGGGCTGATATTGTGGCTGGAGCCAGAGAGGGGGTTTCCCAAGACCTGAAGAGCCCCAGGGTTGTAAAACAGTCAAGTACTCCTAATAAAACCAATCAGGCCAAATTCCTGTCAGGTTTAATCTCATTGTCTCATCCTAACAATTAGCTCCCTCCCAGCCCTGTTTTCCTGGCTGGTTTCTTCCCTGCAGCTCTCACTGGGATAAGGGTCTGGCAGGCAGCATCCTGAGTGCACATGTGCTGCTGAAGGACAGCTGAGTCTTAGTACTGACTTCTCTCTTCCAGCTTGAAGTGCTCCTCTGGGCTCCCCTCTTGCCTGTTCCCCTCTTCCTGGGGAACGCAATCACATTGTTCAGCCTCGTGCATCAAGGTGGCAAGTCTAATCCAGCACAGATTAGTTTCAACCTAGTTTTACCCACTAATACGCTGGGCTGTGGGGAAGAAATTCAGCCTCTTAGAGAGCAGGTGCCCACTTCTTTCATCCAGGCAGGCAGGAGCATCCCTCAGCCCCTTCCCAGCACCAGAAGGCAGGGCAGCTGGCATTGAGCACTTAAATATCCCAGTAAGAGTTTGGCCTGCCAGGTGGGGTCACCTTTTTGGGGAGCAAGGAAGAATCTGTTTTTGCTCAGGTTGCCTTGCAGGTAGCTGGGACTTGTGTGGCTGAGGTTATTGGCTTAGAAAAGTCTCTCAACAGCTCAAGAAAGGCTGCTCAGGGCAGGAGCGGGGGAGAGGCTTATTAGGCAGTTCTTATTAATAGAACATGCCCCTTAAAATGGGAACTTTAGCAAAGGGCTCTAGGAGGAACTTCAGCCACTCTGAGTCACAGGCCCTGGGGACTGAATTCCTGTGTGCTATTGTGAGTGTTTGCCTTATTGCAGTCACAGCCCAGCTCACATACAATGTGGAGGGTGGAATGCCTTTCAAATACACCCCCCTATTGCTTCCTTCCACCTGGAGCAGAGCTGGGATGCTGGTGGTCTATCCAGTCCTCCTCAGGTTGAAACTCAAGGGGTTGCACAGATGTGTGCAATGTCACTTGTCCTGCTCTTGTACCTTGCTGCCAGGGGCTGGTGGGCTCCTGGGCACGTGGCCCTCAGCCATCACGTATGGATGTAACATTCCCTTTGGTCTTCACCATTTCTGTGCTGCTTCTTGCTCTCAGAGAGATGCTGTGCTCTGCTTTCACACACTCTGTCCTGCTGGTAGGTGGAAGCTGTTTGCTGCTCCTGCAGGGCAGGAGTGAAGCTATGACCTGGTGGTCAGGAGGTGCTTTGACCTTGTGTTGTTTTTCAGTGATGTTTGCCTTCCCCAGAGGCTCTTCAGTGGCAATGGCAGCAGGTAAC